CATTGACGATATGAACATTCACATTAACGGTGTGAACATTCACATTAGGGGTATTTTGGTAATTATGTCACCCATAGGACTTATTGAAACATAAGACATGGGCAGCCCCCGAGCCGCCCATGGGCTGCGGGCAGGTTTCGCGCCACCACAGGACGCGGGCCAATTTTACACTCCTATTAATGTGAATGTTAATATGTCAATGTGAATATTCACATTGTCAACGGGCCGGGCCCGCCCTAGCCCGACTTGATTTTTTCCGAGCACCCACGAGAATCGACATGGGCCGGGCCCCTACACATTGACGATATGAACATTCACATTAACGGTGTGAACATTCACATTAGGAGTATTTTGGTAATTATGTCACCCATAGGACTTATTGAAACATAAGAAAATAATGTGAGCTAAATGGAACATAAGTAGATGAAAAGGGTATTTTGGTCTTTTTATCTCAAATAGGACCTAATGGAATAGTCAAAAAGAACATGGGTTGGATGGAATAAAGCTTTTAGAAAGTGAATTTATCAAAAAAGCTCCCAAATAATAATTATCCCTTAATGTATAAATTTCAAATGAAAAGATAACAAAAACATTTTATAATCTCTCAATCCTAATCTCTCTTATCAATTTCCAAAAAGAAGTATATATTAAAACTTGCATTTCTTATTAGATAATATGTATATTTTATATATTATATTATAACATAACAAAAAAAAATTAAAAATCAGATATACAAACAGATAAAATTAATAAATATGATTTTTATTTGTTCAGTTAAAATCTTTATTTTGCCTCTCAATATCCAATTTCAAAATTTAAAAATCTTTAAAATATACCTAAATGAATCTAATTTGAAAATATCTCACACTATTATATTTTAAATCAATAAAACTCACATGTCTATCACATATCTAACTCATAGCATAATTTACCTAAATAATAATAATTAAAAACAAATATAAACCATAGATAAATTAAATTAAATTAAAAAAAAATAGAAACCCTCAACTTAATTTGTGCCCACATCTTCACTGAATTCCTAGCTACACCACTGCTCTAGAGTCAGGACCATGGATGCTAATATGCTATAATGTAACGCCCTCAATATAATACATATGAACCCAACATTCATGACATCCATAACCATAAGAGAATAACACGTATTTCCATTTATCAGAGTATTTATTACAAAAAGTGTTACATGTTAACGACAAAAGTAAATGCCCTTCAGGCTTATAACTTTCTAAGTCAACACTTGGTTACAAAAAGAGAGTTCTAACTCTAAACACATTAAGCCCTTGGCTTGAATTTACATGTAACACCAAAGATAACAAAACAACCAAAAGAGTCTTCAACTCCCAAAACCTTCTAAGCTAAGGCCTTGGAGGCGGCATATCACCTGTACTTGAAAAGTAATGTCCCATGTAGGGTGAGCCAACGCCCAGTAAAGATATGCTAAACATAATATGAACGATAACTAAAACATTAGCTTTTAATAAATGTTTTACTGATGTAAATAGACGTACATCTCTTTCATAACCAATCCATATTCACAGATATATGTATATCAATCATTTTTCGTTTCATTATCCAAACCAATTCATAGATATGGTTTTCTATTCATCCAGACAGTTCATAATGAGACTACAACTATGTTAACAATATTCTGATCATAATCACTTAATATGAGACTACAACTCACATTATTAACACTTCAACACTTCAATTCATCTACATTATGCAAACACAATCAAGATTTTAGGACTTTCACCCTAGACACTCCGGCCAACTTAGTTATCAATGGAGTCCATTCCCTATCTCCTCCCAAACAGGTTTGAGAGTACATCTCCTATCTCCTCTCAAACCATCGAGTACATCCCCTATCTCCTCCCAAACAAAATACATATGCAATATATTTAAACACTTATCATGTACAATGATCAATCAAAGCACATATTCAATATGTTATTCCATCAATCATATTCAATGACATACTCAATTGATTAGTTTTAATTCACCTAATCATCATGCGGTGTCTACAACAATCAAGACTATCCTCCACCGATAGCCCAAAATAATTATTTCTAAACAGATAATAAATTCATCAAACAGATAAATTGCCAACATTTTCATAGGCTAGTGATTAATCAATCCAACTACACCATTCAATCTCACAATTGCCCATTTTCATTATTTCCAAACCAATTTCACATTCCCATAATTAATTTCATTAATTACACCAATAACCCAACTAAGCCCAACCAAGGCATTTTCTCTTTTTCTCAACATTGACTAGAAGGTCCAAATATCATCAATAAACATCAATGACCTCATTTTAAGACTCAAATACATGTGTAGTTCAAAAGAAACAAAACCCCTCATTATATATTTCAAGTTTTGAAACCCTAACCCCCAAAATTTTACAACTTAAACATTAAATCAAAAAGACTACATGTTTATGTCAAAGACCATAAATATGAGTAGTTATCCCTATCTCAAATTTCGGAGCTCAAAGGAGAAGAAGGTGAAAACCCACAATGCTCCAAACACCAACTTTTTCGGATCAAAAAGAAGATTACGTCAAGCTCCACACTTTATACAAAGGAACTAGGGTAGAAGATCACTAGAACTAGATGTATTTATAGAGAGAATATGTAGTCTAGAGAGAGAAGTTCTCAAATTAGGGTTTTGGAGTGCTTTAGAGAGAGAGAGAGTCAAAGAAAAGTGATCCAAAAAGCTTTTTCTCGGACTGATATACATCACAGTACGCTCGAGCGTGGGACGCCCCACTCGAGCGTCAGACACAGACTTCCGCTCGAGCGGGGAAAGCGCCGCTCGAGCGTGGGATACACATTTCTAGAAGTTTTACAGACGATGGTCCCCGCTCGAGCTTGAAAGTGGATGCTCGAGCGTCCGATGTCCTGCAGGGAAAAAATATTGAAGACTGAAAAATCCCGCTCGAGCGTCAGACTGCCCGTTCGAGCGGAGGAGCAAAAGCAAAAGGGGCCCCTCCCGCTCGAGCGTGAAGGCCAAAATCTGGACAAAAACTATTTGTTTCTAAACACAACCAACATGTTTCAAACTTGCTCAACACAATCCAAAACTCAAATACAAAGAGTAAATGATGGAAATGCAACGTATACAACAACAGACATTCATGAAATCGAGTCCGGAATACAATAACCAATAGAGGAAAAACCGGGATCGCTATATATAATATCCCTACGAAGCATCCTTTTTATTGTTGAAAAAAAAAAAATATTTTTTATGAAGCAAAATTGATATGAAAACTATTACGATTGAATTCACATAAACTTGAAATGCATACATTATGTAATTACGAAAAATGTTTGAGGCACCTAATTAACACTCTTAAAAATTATTTTAAATAATATGTTTGATAAGTGTTAAATTTAAGGGTAGTAAATTAGTAGGATGTAACATTATTATATAATTAAATAGATAATTGGGATTTCTTCAATTACACCCTCTCAAATTTATCGAATCTTAAGAAAATCGGTTCACTTACTTTGTTGTTAACTACGCAAAGAATATTTACGCTGATAATAAATTTAAAATAAAAAATAAGAAAAAAGAGAAGTAAAATATCAAAATTAATGGCAATTGGCGATCATGACTCTCCATAGATATTCCAAATTAAGAATATGCCATTTCATATTCTCTACTCTCTTGTGGACAAAAATCACCACCAACAATCTCATAATCACCATCACTGATCAAAAACATTGCGATCAACGGCCCGGATTCAAGTGGCCCCCACTTTACATGTCCACCTCCCCACCGTGCACGTAGCAAAAAATTTGAAAGAAATTATAAATATAGTCAAGTTAAAGTTTAAAAATAAGTAAAAGTTTTAAAAAAATTAAAAATTGTCAAAAAGTTAAAAAATAAGTAAAAACAATAATCAACGTCTCCAATATGTAAGTCGAGTGTATATATTGCAGGAAATCACTTGCCTTCTCTAAACTATTTCCTACTAAAATATGACACCCTATAAGGAAGAAGGGGGAAAAAATGATGATTATTTTATTTTTATTTTTTTATCTAACATCTCGATTTTTTAATAAAGATTTTATGTTAACTATCAAAAAAATACTTTTCTATAAACATAAAGCAAGAGTTAGAAAAATAGTCATCAATACATTTAGGAACAGAAAAATAGTCATCAATACATGTAGGAATGTCGATATATTTTTTCTGACATTTTAATTGCTATTCAATCTCCGTTTCGAGAGGTTAGTTATTTTAATTTTTGACTATTTTAATAGGTTAAAATATTTATATTTAAAAAAAAATAGATTTTTTTATAGTTGGATGTAATGTTTGAAAAAGAAAAAATTAAATGATAATGAATTTGATGTAACATTTTGTCTTACTAATTATTTTAGCTTATTTTATCTTTTTAAGTGTTGGTTTGTTTTGAAAAATAGGTTAATAGCTGGTTTTTTGATTTTTTTTTTGAAAAAATATGTAAAAAACTAAAGAGATGACATCACTTAAAAAAGCTAAAAAATTTAAAAATTATACTAACCCAATAATAATTGAGTTTAATACATATTATCCCATGATATTTAGAAAAGTATATTAATTCCTTGTCATTGCAATTATTTAGATAGAATAAAGATATTAAACTCATACACTCTATTTTTTCTTAATTTCTTTTGCTTTACTTCCTCGGTTTTTTTTTTCTTCTTTCTTTTACTTTTTTTTTAATGTAATTTTTTATATTTTTTTATTAAAAATTGTTGCTTTTTATGTAAGGAAAAAGTTTGTAAAATAAGACTATTAATCACATGGGCAGAAATATAATTTTTAAAACCTCCAAAATAAGATATAATTAAACCAAACATCAAGAAGCATCAGTCCAATTTATCTCAAAAAAAAAAAAAAAAAAAAAAATACTACTACTATAACTAAACACTAAACCAAACAAATATCTATAAGGAAAATGTTTTGTTTGTCGAGGAATTAATTTAATTTAATTTTTGTCGGGGGTGGTGGTGTTGATATGAAAAATTTGTCCGAACCTTTCTCTTCACTTTCACAAAAGAAGCGCCAACGAATTTGGATCCGATACTCCAACCCTCAATCTCTCTCTCACTCACTCCCCTCAACAGATTGAAAGGTCACAAAACCTCTCTCTCTCTCTCTCTCCCTGGTATGTTTCTCAATCCTATTTTTGTCTGGTGGGACTTGATTCTTCTTCTTTTTTCTTTTTTTTTTTTTTTTTTTTTCTTTTCGTGGAATTCAAATATTTGTTGTGAAATCTGGGTATTTTAATTTGATTCCACGCAAGTAATTTGTTTTTTTTTTTTTTTAAATTTTGTACTTGTTTTCTTTAGATTTGGATACAATTGCTTGTGAATGTTGAGGATTGAGAAGGTATCAGGCTTGTAGTTTGCTTTTTATTTTAATTTATTTATACATTGAATTTTCTTTGACATTCCTTTGATTTCGAGGATTTAAGCATTGGGTTTCATGAAATTTTATAATTATTCAAGTCTGAATCTCTTGATTGTCTTCTGTTGCTTCTAGTTAATGTGGATTAGATGCACGTTCAGTTCATGGCTTCATTAACATCTTACCCTTTACAAATCCATGCTTGTATTTTTTTTATAAAAAAAATTGTCCATTTGAATTGAGTTTTCCAAGAGACGAATCAAAATTTATAGATTTGGAATTCCATTTCCTTACTATTTTTTATTTTATTTTATTTTTTATTTTATTCTCTCATGAAATTTGAGTGAAAATTTGGTTAAAAGCTTGGTATGATATATAATATTCCAACTCCAAACTTATCCTAAAAAAATATTTTAACAAATTTTGATGAAAGAGACCCATTTCCAATACTTACTATTTTTAAAATTTCATTAAATTTGAGTAAAAATAAGACTTGGAAATTTGGTTTGGTGAACAAAAAATGCCTTCCTTGATTTGATACATATTTGATGGAATGGTTGGAGCACACTTCTAGCAAAATTTTTCATCAAATTTGAATTTGATAAAAAAAAAATTGATAAAAGGATTGGAGATATGTTGAGGGTTATAAATATTTAACATATGGACAGGAATGCAGAGAGTTTGGATAAGTAAGAGAATGGATGATCAAGTGTTTTTGGGGAGTTGTTTAGTTGCCTTAAACTATTACATATTTCGGGCAGTCATCGAGTCCACTTAGTGAACAACTCAAGCATCAAAAATGATTTAGTGATCATAAGTGTATGTGATTGTTTTTGGTTCATAAATCCTTTTGTGTAAAGTAATTCGTTGTTTTACAGGGTTAAAGTAACATTAGAACGATATGGATCGACTCATGAGTTCTGCACGTCTCATGATAGTTTCAGATCTTGACCATACAATGGTGGGTATCACAATTGTCTGTATCTTGATCAGCCTGATTTTATTCTCTATGCTGCTTGGATTTATTGCGGAAGTTTGTTTGCAGGTTGATCATCATGATCCTCAGAACCTTTCTCTGCTTAGGTTTAATGCTTTGTGGGAAGCACATTATCGTCATGATTCTCTGCTTGTGTTCTCAACTGGAAGGTCTCCTACACTGTACAAGCAGTTGAGGAAGGAGAAACCAATGCTAACCCCAGATATAACCATAATGTCCGTGGGAACTGAGATAACATATGGTAATTCAATGGTGCCTGATGAAGGTTGGGTTGAATTCTTAAATCAGAAATGGGATAGGAACATAGTCACAGAGGAATCCTGCAAGTTTTCTGAACTCACTCTTCAGGTACAGTTTGTTGATTATAATAGTTGGTATGTTGATGATTATCTCTGCGTGAACAGTAGGTGGTTGTGTTGTGTGCTAAATCTTGAAACGAATTGAAAATGACACACCCGTAGAGAAAATGGTTTTTGTATCTGGAATCTTTGTATAGCTGAAGGTTTTGGGGTAATGCAGGCAGAAACGGAGCAACGACTGCACAAGGTTAGCTTCTATGTTCTGAAAGACAAGGCTCTGGAAGTAATGAAAGCTCTTTCTGTGCAGTTGGAAAAACGTGGGGTAAGATTGTCATTTTAGAAATTGACCATTATTTAGAAATTGTCTTTATTTTCTTTTTCTTTTCTTTTTTCTTTTTAAAAAAAAAAAAAATTTTGTGGAGAAGAAAAAATAGGTGTTTGTTGCTATTACAACTGTTTTTATGTGGAGGATTCTTTTCCTTTTCTTCTCATTTCAGCTTTTGCATTTCTTTTGGTCAGTTGGATGTTAAAGTAATTTACAGTGGAGGGATGGATTTGGATATATTGCCACAAGGTGCTGGCAAAGGGCAAGCTCTTGCTTATTTGCACAAAAAATTCAAGACAGAAGGAAAACTACCCCAAAACACTCTTGTTTGTGGAGACTCTGGAAATGATGCAGAATTATTCAGCATTCCAGATGTATATGGTGTCATGGTTGGTGATTCGATTACTTCTTCACCATGTTATTGCTTTATTATGACATTGGGAATTTGTTAGTTTATTTATGTGATTAACTGATTTATTTTAAACATTTTTCATTGTGCAGGTAAGCAATGCCCAGGAAGAATTATTGCAGTGGCATGCTGAAAATGCTAAGGGTAACCCTAACATAATCCATGCAATGAAGGTGTGCATGCAGGAATACAAGCCATGGACATTTTATAAACCTTGGCCCAAGCAAATCTCCAAGAGATATAACGAACCCATTGGAGACTATCTCTGAAAATTTTGAACCTGGACATGACATAGTAACTTTTTACTTGTTTTTAGAGAGGTGGAGGCATGCAGAAATGGAGTTTTCCGAGATCTATTTGGCTGGTCTGAGAGCAACTAGTGTATGTTTGATCCCTTGTTAACTTCACTCTGTAGTTGATTATGCTTGTAGTAGGTGTATACTTGATGTTTACCCTTTAGATTTTACTGGATTGTTAGGTTTTTTTGTTTTGTTTTGTTTTGTATTTTTTTTTTTTTGCCCCCCGAAGATTTTTAGGTGAAAAATAAAGAAAGCTATGATCTCCTTGTTAAAACAAGGAATATTTTTGAAAATTTCTGGTGTTTGATTGTTTGCTTTGTATAGAATTTATTATATCAACAAGTGAGAGAGAGAGAGAGAGAGAGAGAGAGAGAGAGAGAGAGAGAGGGAAGAAGTTTGGTTGTTTGTTTAACTTTTCTGCTGATATGTATATAACAGATTTACCTTTGAAGACCTGAAAATATCTTACACTTCCCTTTCTTTTTCTTGTAAGTTAGTTTCCTAATAAATACTTAGTTCTCAGACCTTATCTATGCATGTCCATTTATACATCTGTACTAATGTATTTATGTATATATGTGCCTATATTCTAGCCTATGTTTACACAAACATAAAGTGCTTGTGCTCGCATTTAAAGGAATGCTTGTAAAACCCAATATGAGTTTCACATGGCGAAGTATCAAACTTTGCATTGTTTATGCATCTTTGTGTGTTTCTGTGTGCATGGACTTTGATTTTACATTTCTATTTCACTTTGTTTGATTCACATGGATGCACATCATATTCCTGTTTTAGACAGAATCTGTTTTTGGTGGTTCATCACTGGTGAACCAATATATCACAAATTCAAAATTTTGAAATCGGCCAGGAAATGTAGTTTTGAATGACCTGAAACTTATTCTAATTTGGCTTATCGAAGGTTAAATGTTTCTTTTGAACCATTTTTGTCTTTTCAATAGTACTTTATTCTTAGATTTTTGCTTTGATTTGGACAAAGCTTCTATTTTCTTCTGCCCCTTTAATTTATATTTTTTTAACTTGTTTTCCTTGTATGCTTCTATTTTGTCCTTGCAGTTTCCATCCTATGTTTTTGTACATCCATCTGGTAACGAGCTATCTATTAATGACTGCATAAAAGGAATGAGGAGTTGCTATGGGGATAAACAAGGGAAACAATATCAGGTATGGGTGGATCAGATTTCACGTACAGAGATTGGTTCAAACATATGGCTAGTGAAGTTCAACAAGTGGGAGTCATCAGGTGAGTTATTTTTAACTATTGAGTTGCCATTTGTCTTTGCTTTCCTTTGTTCCTGCCTTGTATAGACTTTTAATTTTGATGTGCTACATGGAATGAACAAAGTATGGTTTGTACAAAATTCTTCACTGTCTATGGGGTGAAGAATTCTTCACTGTCTATACATTTGCTTATTCTCATGAAGAGGCACAAACTATTGAGTTGCCATTCTTCACTGTCATATCAAAGTATGGTTTGTACATATGTATAAGCAAATGTATTCATGAGAAGGTAGGAAATTATGGAGCACAGGCACAAGCAGGGTACTTGGATATGACATGTTAATGAAAAATGACAAGGTGATGTATTAATATATAATTTTAAGTAAGAAGCATGGACATGGAAATAGACATGGATACAGGCACGGACACCTACATGGGACACGGCGATTTGTAAAAAATCAAATATGGACACGACATAGATATAAGAAAAAATATATTTTTATTTGTTGTGTATATAAATATTACATCTACAAAGTTTCATCTATGAATAACTAAAAATAATGAAAAATTAATTCAATATGAAAAAACAACTCAATCTATAAATTAAATTTTATTCAATATAGAAATACTATTTTATCAATTATAAACAATTGTTTAATATTGATTTGTTTGCTGCTAGCAGCACAAGTAGAAGACAAGTTTTCCTAATAATCATTACAAGTGACATAATTAGCAATTTCAACAATCATAAATTAATTTAGAATGACAATTCAACAATCAAACACTAATGTAGAAATTAAGGGACAGAATGATATTTACTTGTATTGAGTAAAGAATAAGGGAGAGAATACTCCACAGTAATGATTAACACAAACAAGTATAGTTTACATTAGTGGTGATTATGAATTTGTGATGACTGTTTTTACGGCTCATGGCAAGATGACCGTATTTTGGAGAAGTGTGTGTCCATGACTAGAGCTCAGCATGTCTTGCAAAGAAAATTAATTAGAAAATCAGACACGCCATGGGGCATGTTCGATACATGTCTTGGCGTGTCCGTGTTGGACACATGTTAGACACAACTATGATAGCTAAGTTGAAGTGTTTGTGCTCCATAGCTTTATGATTTATTTTTTGATAAATTACAGAAGAAATCTTTTCTGTAGAAGAAATATATGATTAATTTTAATTTTTCAGATATTAGTATATACAATTGCAAAACATTGAAGATCAAGCTTTTCAAGTATGAAGTATTTGCATATTTCTTCTCACCCTACTTTTTGACTAGATTTTTATTTATTTATTTATTTATTTATTGAAAAAAATGTTCATTGTGTTTTTTTCCTATATTCAAGTATCCATTACATTGTTTGTGCTGTTCATATTATGTATATATATATATATTCATTTAGAAAAATTTTGAGACACATTTGTGGTTTGTAAATTGCATCCATAAGAATTGGGGACATGGTCAGATGGTTTTTGTTTAGAGATTCATGATTTAGGTTGTGTTAATAGTGTTTGAGACAGATTCATGATTTGTGCTGGTCCAAGATAAGCAGGGCCAGTTTTCTTTTAACTTGTACATGTAGGGATATTCCAGATTAGTAAACCTAGTTTCGTAAAATGGGTCTATAAAAACTACCATGGAGGCATACGATATAAGTACATTATATTTATCAAAAAAAAAAAAAACAGATACAAGTACATTATAGTGGCAAATTCAAAAATGAATCTATTTGGCCAGGAAAAAAAAAGAAGAGAGCAAAATATGTCTGTAACCTATCCGAATGGAAGTGGTCTTCCTGTTCATTTTGGCAGGCCGCCTTCCGAAGTAGGTTGAACTTTGATGTTCTACACTTGTGCAGTTGAATCAGTTTGATTTTCTCACATGGCGGTTCTCAAACTCATCAACTGTCGTGAGCATTTTTGAAAAATCAAGAGAGCGTGACGAAGTGCTCACATCAAATGACCTGTACACTTTATATAATAGTATTATAGTATAGATTATCATGGTGATATAAATGTGTGCAAGTAAAAAATGGCGCAATATACGAGCATCTTTTTTTGCATTAATTGAAATAGAAATAGAAGGAATTAGAAAAGGAAAAGCAAGGATCTATTTTATGCCATTGTTGTTTAGGGAACTGGCTAAACTACATCAAAAGTAGGAAAATGTGCAATATTCCTCCTATGTTCTTTGTATCATTCTCTGACAAACTCCAACTCTTGTAGGTGAAGAGCGGCGTGGTTGCGTGGCGACAACTGTAGTGAGTTCAAAGGTAAGATTTGAGATTATTGTGGTGAAACCATCCTTATGAGGTCTGTGTTTATATCTTCTTGATATGTCCATTTTGTTGCTTTCAGGATCTGAGTGGTATAGATGGGTTTTCTTGGGTGCACATGCACCAGTCATGGTTAGATGAAGCGGGACCAAAAGATCAAGATTGGGTCTATTAGATTGCGCTTGCAGTCCCCCACTCTGAAAACCAGTATTTGTGTTTTTTTTTTTGTTTTTTTTAAACTTTTTATTTTTATTTTTTCCTTATATTAAAATAAATGTATTGTAAAAAAATACATTTACTAGTTATATTTTCTTTTTGCAATATACATATTATCATCAACTCAGTTAAGATGTCTTGTTTGTCACAATAATATACTTGTTATGAAGAGGATTTATGAGACGATTTGCATCATCTTATTTCTAGTTTTATTTCCAATTTATTTAGATGGAAATTTGTGCCATATATAATTCTCCATTTGTACTGCTAAGGAATAGGTTTTGTGACTAAGTGATGCCTTAGGTTTCATCATATTATTCTTATTTTCTGGAGAATATTACTCTCTTGATATGTCCATTTTGTTGCAGGGAAATTAATAGAATGACAGCAATTTATATGATGGTATATTGCTGAGTTTGAAAGAGTTTTTTAGAATACTCAATCCCCCTTCTGTGAAAATGACTTGTTAACGAAATGGGTTTTCTTCTTCAGTCATGTTTGGTGCTGCTTGTTGGAGCTGCTTCTAATTTTTTATTTCTTTAAATCTTTTTTTTTTCCCTGAAAATTTGTGTTAGGGTATTTGGTTTAACTTCTTATAACTTCTGAGCTGATTAACTCAAAGTTAGGGAAGAGATGAATTTAAAAGAATTTGTACTAAACAGGCTTTTTTTTTTCCTTTTTTTTCCTTCTTTTTAAATTAATCGTAGGTTGCATTTTGATTGATGGGTTTGGTGTAAAATCCATGAGTATGCAAGAAGGGTTTGATTTTTCTCAAGTTGTCTCTCTCAACTTGAGAAAGCATTTGGGATCGATTTCGGTAATCTAAATCATTCACTTTTTAAGACTCGTTGAGTAGAATATTTATGTAAAAAATTAAGATTATCAAATATTAGTAATTATATATTTAAATTAAATTTGCATTACAAGAAATGGATGGCTATTGTTGCATTCTGATTCGCGAAATCGAGATGAATGGATTTGATTTTAATTATGTAAATATTGAACCTTAAAATTATATTCAATACTGATATAAACTATAATTGAGATGAATGGAAGGTAGTTATTAGGGGTGAGCAGCGGATATATCGATCCGCCAAAACCGATCGAACCGATCTGATCCACCGTATTTTGGACGGATGTGTGATGATGAGCGGATGGTTGCGGATTGATTTTTTTCAATCCGCCAATCTGGCGGGCGGATGGCAGATTTGAGATTCTTTTGGCCGCAATTGAACCGCCAAACCGTGAGCACCCTAGTAATTTATAAGATTTTGTGTTTTCAGTTTGCTTAATATTCTGTTTGTGTTTTTAATTAAAAAAGAGTTTAAATATTCTGTTGAAAAAAAGTTTTCAACATGAATATCTTTTTTGAATTGAAAAAAATAAACGTATTATTTATCTATATTTTTTTGGTTTTTAAATCTATCTCTAAAAATAATAAATAGAAAATATGATATATGCTGGTTGGTTTTTGTTTTCAAAAATAGATATAGATGTAACAATAAAGAGACATACAATCTCTATTACTGCTCTGTTCATGATTTTGGTGATTTGAATTGTTTTTATATTTTAAGAACCACAGATTGTAATACTTTATATGGATGAGTCATGAAGTGATTATGATATTCTAAAATTTCAAACTTTCTTACTTTGGATAAGGCATGTAGTGATTGTAATATTTTTTTTAAGTCATTGAAGGTAATACTTTCTTCTTTTTTTTTTTTTTTTTGAGAAAGTACACAAGTTGAATTATGTTGAAAATTTATAAAATTTTAAACAGCCAAACCGATTCGCATCTATCCGCTAAACCGCCAATCCACTTAATTCACATCCGCCGAATTGGCGGACGGATACGAATTGATTTTCTCCAATCTGTCAATCTAGCGGACGGATGGCGGATTGGAGGTTCCGTGGCCGTAACCGACCCGCGCCCACCCCTAGTAGTTATTAGGAAACATCTTCGTGATAATAAATAAATTTGAAGCTGCAAAAAGTAGTGTAAACTCTTTGCCCTATTTGTTTTGGGAGATGGAGGAGGATTGGGATTGAGATAGGGTTTCGGATTAGGATGGGCCATAAAGAGGGGATTGAGATGGAGGTGGGAGAGTTGATATTAGAAGTTAGTCTTCCAATTTAGCATATATATGCATATATATATATATATATATATTTTTTACATGTTGGACATTTTTTTTTTGAACATTAATGTTTAATATTTTTGTATTTTTTGTTAAGTAAAAATCATAATTTTATTTGTTTTAATATTTTATATTTCTTTTAGAGGATAATAATTTAACAATCCCACACTAACAATTATTATCAAAACAAACACAATTTTATTTAATCCCCTTACTATTAATCATTTTATTCTACCTCTGAATATAAACAGGTCTTTTAGGCGAAATGGATGAGACTTGGCGGACATTTTTGCTTATCATGACTAATTTGCAAACACAAACTGCACTGGTTTTTTTGTACGTTGTCAAGAGGTATCCACCTCGTTGTGGATGAAACAATGTGAGGAAGTAATTTTGAGACCAGTAATCCTTGTGAAGTATTGGTTGAAACTTTACACTCAAAGGTCCGTTCGTAAACTTCTAACTTGTAATTCAATGTAACAAAAGGAGATGAGTTGTCACAGGTGTTTTTTGAATTTTTCCTTCTTGTTTTAAAAAATACAAAAATTAAAACAAAAAATGAAGAAAATGAAAACAAAACCATTCTAAACTTGGAATTGGCAGCACATCCATTGCATATACCACTACTCTTTTTTTTTTTCTTCTTCTTCTTCTTCTTCTTTACTATTTTCTTAACATGCAGCTTTATATTAATCGGAAATTAACTATTTTGTCCCCTTATTTTTTGAAATAGAATAAAACACGAATGTAATATATCTACAAAGGAACGTATAGAGGAGAAATGAATGTGAATTGTTTGCCAAGAGCCTGGTAACTTTTGTTAGGATGATGAGAGATGTCAAGTTGTCAATCAAACTTGGTCCTGATTTATTACGCTAATATGCAGATGAAAATATAATCACAAAGTGATTGATTTGGTGTCAGCTTCTTCGCTATATGATTTTCTACAATAGATCTCTTTATGATAATAATACTCTACTTTTTAAAGTTGAAGTATAACTACGTCGTTTCAGAATGTATGATTTTAGTGACATTATTTATTTCAGTTTTAACTCAAGTCATTAAATTTTGTATTTTATTGTGATAAAAAAATATAGTAAGACCATTGCAGAAAATCAAACTATGCAAAAGTGGCCCAAATGTTTTAATCCCATTTTATCATTGCTTTGTGATTTGGGAACCTTGAATTTATCAATTTCAAAGATGAACTGAAGTGAAAAGTTAAAAATAAAAACAAAAAATTAGAAAAAATATGAAGTGAGAAGTTGGGAACCTTGAATTTATCAATTTCAAAGGTTACATGAAGTGAAAAGTTAAAAACAAAAAATAAGATAACAGATGAAGTGAAAAGCTTTTTTTGAAACAAAAAAGGGTAAAAGGGCCCAACCGGGATCGAACCGGTGACCTCTTGATCTGCAGTCAAATGCTCTACCACTGAGCTATGGACCCAATTTGGATTAGCTCTCACAAAATTATATATAAATAGTAATTTGTTTATTGTCTCTTTCCACACAATAAAGTTGACCATAGACTAGGAAAACTGAAAAACATGGTTCACAAATCTCAGAATAAAAGGGACTTTTTTTGAAACAAAAAAGGGTTAAAGGGCCCAACCGGGATCGAACCGGTGACCTCTTGATCTGCAGTCAAATGCTCTACCACTGAGCTATGGACCCAATTTGGATTTGCTCTCACAAAATTATATATAAATAGTAATTTCTTTATTGTCTCTTTCCACACAATAAAGTTGACCATAGACTAGGAAAACTGAAAAACATGGTTCACAAATCTCAGAATAAAAGGGATCAAAAAAAAAAAAATGAAAAGAGGGAAAAAAAAATATATTTATAGAGGATTCTAATTTCAAACTGTAATAAGGGTACTTCCTTCATATCCTTTTTTATTTTTATAAATTACAAACTGTAGAGCATATTATACTTGGAAGGGGTGGATTGGCATTGATATTTTTAATGATTTTTTAGTGATATTTGTACGATATTCTAATTTCAAGATAGTAAGGGTACTTCATTATTGTTGAAATGGTCATTGTATGGGGGAAAATCAATGGCATGTTTCATTTTAAAGGCATATGGTTTGGCTCATGTCTACGTAATCTCTTATCATTTCGAAATAAACATATAATTTTGTTGTGTTTATAGGATTGAAGTGCATTGTCTAGTCCATTCATAGTTTAAACAAAAAAACCTAAAATATTCTCGCATATAATTATTTCCATTATGTAAATCATAAATATTTTCATTAGTTTTTTTAAAAGAAAAATTTATTTTAACCTTGTTGTGATTTACTCAATATGTGGTTTATCTCCTGACATTTGCAAATTAACACATAACCCCGTGACGTGTTTTACATTTACTATTAACTAAGGGTATAACTTGGGCGGGCTCAACTCGAATAATCTGAACATCGTTTGAATTTTTTTAGTTCTTAGACAAGATATTTTTAAATTCGATACAGACTTAGGTAAAAATTCAGAAGCCTGAATTAAATTTGGGCAAAGACGTCAAACAATCCAAGCAACCTGAAACCCGAATTATATATATATAGATACATAAAAATTATTAGCCATTACATGATATTAAAATAATTTAGATTATTAAATCATATTGAATATATATTATATATACAAATAACATAAAATCTTACTTTTTTTTTTCTTTTTATTTTCACTCATAAATTGTAAGGATTACTATAGTGGCATCTCTCTTACATTATATAAATTATTTGTTTTGATGGTATTAAGGAATTTCTATAAAAAAAAATATAAATAAAGTCAAATTTTAATAATTTAACAATGTAGCTGCAAAAAAAAAAAAAATCATTTAATCATTTATAGTTCGGATAACTCGGGCAATTCGGGTATAACTTGACTCAGGCTTGGGCATGTAACCTCGGGTTACAATTTGGGCTTTGATGGGCCTGTGTAGGTCTTAGCACAACTTGGATTGCGCTTGGATAACCTCCAAATCCGACTGAACCCGCCCGAGTTGCATGCACCCTACTATTAACTTGGATGGAAATAGGCCTGCTTGGTAATCATTTCG